TCATGCTCTTTATGATGATGAATCCCCTTCTTCTTCCTTCTTCTCCTTTTATTTTCCTTCTCTGTCTCCTCCTCCTCCTCCCCCTCCCCTTCCCCTCCCCTTGTCCTCCTCCTCGTCCTCCTTCTTCTTCATTTTTTTTTAAGCCTTCATAAAATCTATTCTTTCATGGGTGAAACCACAATTTGGGCCTCTGATATTTAAAGCCATAATTAGATTTTATATTAGTAACAAATATAGAGTCATTTTGAAATCACATGGTGAACATTTCTCCTGAACTACCTGTAGCTGAGTTGCAGGAACTAAGTTAGCTCCCCTACAGTTCCCACTCTTGGTCCTGAGGACAGTTTAAAGCAGCATTAGAGAAGAATAGAATTTTGAGGAAGTTTATCTTATACAGCTTAAAGATACCTGCCACTAACATTCTAAAAAGTCACTGCTATTTGGAAAAACATCCCAAACCTTAATTTCTAGTCCTGGCCTCCTGGCTCAGAGACAAAGATTGCAGCAAAAATTGTCCTCACTCCCTGACACCTAAAAAGCCCATATACTGAGATGCTCTCATTTCGTTTCAATCAAATCCTTGCCTGTGCTACTTTTGCATCCTAAGTCCCTCTGAGAAGGACCCCGCCTGTCGCTATGCCTGTGTGAAATAGCTCCTTGCTGGTAGACAAGAGGGCCTTCAGCTGCAGTGACCCACCAAGGTGAGAGTCCCATGTGGCCCATGCTAACCAAATCCTAAAGGTGCCTACCCAGGCCATACCCATTAAAAGCAAACTGGGTTGTGAAACACTGAGAATGAATGATATGCAACTTTCCATGCCAATCTGGATGACCTAATAAGTACAGTATTGAGTGAAAGAAGCCAGACACAGAGTTTATGTGGCATGATTGCATTTATGTAAATCACAAAAGCAAACAAGAACAATCCTTATGCTATCAGAGGTCAGGATATTAGTTGGCAGGTTGTGATTACCCACGAGAAGCCTTCCAGGGTGCTGGTCACGTTTTATTTCTTGACTGGGTGCTGTTTACATAAGAATATTCTGGTTGTAAAAATTCATCAAACTAAAAAAAAATTTTTTTTAAATTCACCAAACTGTCTCCACAGAGACACAAAGGAAGAAACATAGAGAAGGCCATGTGAAGACACAGAGAAGGGAATACTGCTGCCACAGACCAAGAAATGAGGAACCACTAGAAGAAACTGGAAGATGCAAGGAAGGGGGCCTCCAGTTGGTCCTGCCAACACTTTGATTTCAGACTTCCAGCCTCTAGAACTGTAAAAGAATAAATTTCTGTTGTCTAAGCCAATCAGTGTGTGGCAATTTGTTATGCTACACCAAGAAAACCACCAGAGAGGGCCACATATATAATATCCCTCTTCTTCCTGTTCTAGTTCTAAACCGAGACATCGATGGCAGGTCAGACAGATGCATATCAAAATTCTGCTTTGATTACTGATAATATTATATTAGATGACCTGATTTAAATCTTGCCAAATCTCCTTGCTAATAACTGCCAGAGAATGGAACTTACTCCTCTGGATTACAGACCTAGAAGAGTGCTAGAGCCTGCTCTGAAGTGCTTACTGCTTGGCCCAGAGAAGATGAGGTCACGTTTTCTTCAGATGTTCTACAGGAGATGTGGGTGCTTCCTGCAGGAGTGGGGTGAAGAAGATTTCCATTGCCCTGAGCAGTTCTGTTCCAGCCCTGCACTTTCCCATCCCCATTCATCAAGAGATAAACAGTTTACATCCACCCTCCTTAGCCAGCCAATTAGGGGGTGCTCGTTATTACTTGAATATGTCCCTTTTGGGTTTGACATGCATAAAAATCCATCGAGCGGCTTATCAGAGCATTTTAATCATGTGTACTGTTGTCCCTAAGAAGCATTACGGCTAAAAGAAATTTCTATTTTTTGCTATATGTCATTAGTGTTCTAAGACTCCCCCGCAGCTGTTTGCCTGGCCCGCCACCTGCTGCATTGTGGAAACCAGGGAGGGATCTTCTTTTCACGATTATGCAATCAACTGTCAACCTGTAGGCCAGAGAACAGGCTGGTTGGCACTTCCTGTATGGAACAGGATTCTCACTTCTAATCTTACCAAAGCCGCCAGTCCCAGAAAGCACGACAATTAGCAGGTGAAGGTCACCCTTGGCTTAGCAGCTCCGCGTGGTTCACCACCATCCCCAGTGGATATTATTGCTGCAAGATCTGGGACAACCCATCCTGGACAGCATTCCAACTGCAAGAATCATTTATTCCTCTCGTTACTGCATCCATTTCTCTCAACTAGTTGTCTGGGCAACAAATGATCTGTTCAACTAATCTTCCTTGGGGTGCAGTGTTATTGTCTTTCTCAAGGATTTTAGCCAGCTACTGTGAGTAAAAAGAAATTTTTTCTCTTTTGACAGTTCTGGGGATTGAGCCCAGGGATGCTCTACCTCTGAGATACATCGCCACTCCTTTTTATTTTTTATTTTGAGACAGAGTCTCTGTAAGTTGCCCAGACTGGCCTCCAACTTGTAATCCTCCTGCCTCAGCCTCTGGAGTTGAGGCTTATAGTTGAGATTATAGGCATGAGCTACCACCCCTGGCTAGAAAGAAGTCCATCTGTGTCTTGGATAATGTATAGTGTGGGTGAGCACCAACTCTGCGGTGCTTGAAACTGGGGCCCATCAGAGCAACTGTCACTGTGAAGTGTGAAGTTCTCCATAGGAAGTTCCACTTTTCACTGCAGAGACACATCATGGGAGAGAGATTAGAAGAGACAGGTATAGTTTAGCCACCAGAATAAGGAATTTGTACCTCATCCTGCAAGTGGAAGGGAGCCCCGAAGAGCCCTTAACTAAAGGGGTGGCATGGTCTTGTCTGCATTGAGTGGTGAAGGATGGAACAGAGGAGGCAAGTTCAGATTGAAAGCTATGGTGTGGTTCATGTGAGAGAAAACAAGGCTCTGAAATAAGGCAAGGTTAGTGGAGATGGAGAGGAAGGGAAGGACCTAAGAATGCACAGCAGATGGAATAATCTCATGGATGGGGGGAAAGATGGAGCATTGCTTATTGCCTGCTGCTCACCTCTGTTGACAAGAGGAACCGCAGGCAGGTCCCCGACTCCCAACCTGCACCTTCTCCACATGCACCAACACTCTTCGAGGATGTTTGTGACTGCCGTCCACCAAGGCTCCAGGCTGGATCTCTTTTCCCACCTCTGCTCCCATATCACACCTCTCCTAATTCACAAAATAAGAGTCCATCTCTCCTCCCTCCTAGAATCTCATAAAAATAGTAGATTGCTCCTTTGCACGAATGAAAACCTCAGGAGTCATCCAAAAAGGAATAGTTTCCAAAATCAATGTCAGTAAAACCTTTAATCAAGGTTGAGACTTCCCTTTATGTCAAGCACAAAGCTTGGCCTTAAAAATAGGGGAGTTGGGCCCCTGGTGGACTGCTCTCCATTCAGATGGACAGTCATGCATCCTATAATGGCACTTCCATCTGTGATAGACAGCCTATGTGACAGCACTCCCAGAAGATGACAGAGATTCCTAGCACCTGGCCATCGTGAAGATGTAATTCAAGCATTACTTACACGGTTGTAGAAACGCTGGTGTAAATAAACCAACTGTGCTGTCGTGTAAAAATATAGCACTTACAACTGTGTATAGTATATCATACTTGATGATGATAATTTTCAACAACCATGTTATAGGTTTCTGTATTTACATGTTGTACTTTTTATCATTATTTTATTTTATTTTTGCATAGTGGGGATTGAACCCAGGGGCACTTTACCAAGGAGCTATATGCACCTGCCATTTTAATGTTTTAATTTGTTTTGAGACAGGGTCTTGTCAAGATGCTGAGGCTGTCCTTGAACTTGTACTCCTCCTGCCTTAGCCTTCTGAGTCACTGGGATTACAGGCCTGTGCCACCACGCCTGGCTTCTATCATCATTTTAGAGTTGTGCTCCTTCTACTAATAAATTAAAAGTTTACTGTAAACATTGTGCTGTGTTAGGCCTGCAGTGGCCTCACCCATCTGCTGTTTATCCTCTCTCTGATTGCATCTTGCCAAGGGACTGACCTGTGCTAAGTTTGTGTAAGTGCCCTCTGTGATGTTCACACAATGACCTGATCAGCTCCTGCTGCAATCCTCAAAATGTGTCCCATCATTAAGTGACAAATGCCTCTACTGAGTGGAACTGGAGCAATAGCAATTTTCCATCCCACTGTAGCAAAAGTTTGTGTGGCTCCTAAGAGACCGTGGGTGCTATGGGACAGAGTCCAGAGAGCCTCCATATTTTAATCGTGGCAAACACAGGGTAAGTCTCCTTGCCATTTCTTTCTGTCTCTTGTCTCTGACTATCTAGAAATTAGGATTCAGAAGTGGTGAAGCTGTTAAAAGGATTTCCATTAACACATTTCCTTGAACTGAGCAGTGAAAGCAGACTGTCTCTGGCAGAAGTCTACTTTGGCCAATTGGTTATCCATTAAATATTTTCCACGAATTAAATGTGATTAATCTGTGCCATCTAGGTTCTGATAAAATATATATTTAAAGCAATCGATGAAATAAAAACATCTTAAGACAAAGATATATTGAATTTAATAAATCTTTCTATTTTCCTAGATTTTCTGAGGACCTCTGGCTAAATAAGCTGCCTTTAATGACAGAGTAGCTATAGTAAAATTAAAAGCCTTAAACATGGCTAGGTTAAAGCCTTCATATCTGAATTTCCAGTAATTGAAAAGAATACACTCTGACCTAAATAACAAATCCATCTTTAGTTGAGTGGGTTTTATTTATTTGTTAACAACCAATTGAAAGAGTACTCAGATCATCAATGTATCATCAAGTGGCAAAAAACAGTTTTGATGATGTATCACCAGGTAATTTTGAGCAAATAGTCAACAAATTGTGGCATTGCCATAATCGAACTCTTGTCATCTACTTTTTGTGTGAACATAATTTCCATAAAAACAAAAAATGAGAATGGAATTGATGTTGAATCATGTAAGCATTATTTATTCATGGATATATGGGTTAATTGAAAAATGCATTTCCGGGGCTGGGGATGTGGCTCAAGCGGTAGCGCGCTCGCCTAGCATGCGTGTGGCCCGGGTTCGATCCTCAGCACCACATACCAACAAAGATGTTGTGTCCGCCGAGAACTAAAAAATAAATATTAAAAAAAAAAAAAAAGAAAAATGCATTTCCATTAAAATTTATCCTCTATTTAATAATTATTCACAAAAATATGTGCATTGTGTAAAGTCAGGGAAATTTAATTTTAATACATACTTTCATAGCAGAGAAACATAACAGAATGATCCATAAAATATTTTCAGTCAGAAAAATATAACCCAATAAAATTCTGTGGGGTTCTAGGACATAAAAACAAAGCAAAGTAAAAAAAAAAAAATGCATGTAAAGCTTTCAATTTTCAAGAACTTATACATACATTTTAATTATTCATTCATTCATTTCTTTCTCTTTTTTTTGCCATACTAGAGATTAAATGTCAGGCAAGCTCTTGGATGAGGATCCAAATCAAAAAAGCCACATTCCATCTGATGAATTATAAAGTGATTAGCCTGCTATATTTCAAACTGAGTATGTTCATGATATATGAATGACTAACAGGTATTACATTAAAAAGGCTCAACCTCACTAGTCATAAGGGAGATAGAAGTTAAAGCCACAATAGGGTATCACCTCACACCTGTGAGAATGGCTGTCATCAACAAGATGAGCCATTCAAGTATTACAAGGAGTGGACATAAGGAAACCCTTGTGTATTGTCGATGGGAATGTAAATTAATGTAAATTAATTGTGGAAAACCATGTGAATATTCCTCAAAAAACTAAAAGCAAAACTACTGTATGATTCGGTGATCCCATTTCTGGGTATTTACCTGACAGATCTGAAATCAGTATGTGAAAGACATGTCTACACACCTGTCTCCATTGTAGCCCAGTTCTTCAGTGTCCGTGAATGGATAAAGAAGACGTAGCCCCTATACACAGTGGAATACCAACAGACACAGAAAGGGAGAAATTGTGTCATTTGTGATAACATGGAAAGAACTGAAGGACATGATGCTAAGTAAAATAAGCCAAACAAGACAAATGTTGTGTGGTCTCACTTAAATGTAGAATAGAAAACAATTCAATTTGTAGAAGCAGAGAGTAGAATAGTCATTACCAGAGCCTGGGCAGAAGGAGGTGAGGGGAATCGTAAGATGATCACCAAAGGGTATAAAGTCTTAGGAGGCATAAGTTTGATTTTTATCTATCTATTGGATAGAGTGATCAACATAGGTAAGTGGGTATTGTACGCATCAATATCTCTAAGAAAGTAAATCTCAAATGTTTCCGAGGTAAATTTTATGAGGTGTTAGATAGTTAATTAGCATAATTTAATCATTCCACATTGCATTAAAATACACGGCATCACTTTGTACCCCAAAATACATGACTATAAATTGCCAATATATAATAAAAATGTTAATAAAGTGTCAATGGCAAAAATTACATCGTTTGCAACAAGCTCCCAGTTGGTCCCCAGAACATGAACCGTCACCGCGCTTCCCATCTCTCTGGATTTTCCCCTTCCCCTCACTTTCTCATCCTTTCCCAGATAATGCTTTCATTGCCACTTCCCTTTCCCTCTGATCTGTCATCATTGTCACTGGCTAGGTAACAACTATTGCAGCTGCTTTTCTGCAGAGAATGGAATGGGTGTCATCCTCTCCTCTCACTCCACCCCTCTCCTAGCTCCTCCTCTCTTCGCTCTTCCTAGTCTGACTCGGGGTTCCCCGCAGTGCATGCCCCCCAGTCCCTGGGCACCCTCCCGCTCCCCCTGAAACGCTCTCCTTGATCCAGCCTGGGCGCTGCGCTCTGCGTCCTCCACCTCCAGGCGCCTGGGAGACAGACAGTCGCGGACGTAGCGCGCGACAGGGGCCTCGCCTTCCGCCCGGGGAGAGCTGGAAGGTGGACCCTGATCTCCCACATCACTATTATGTAATTCCAGCCCCGGCCAAGCAAAGCCTGGCCCTTCCCGCTCCGCATACATTTCAGTCTCCTCTTGCCTTTCATCCGCGGAGGAGCCGGGGAGGGAGAGGATGTGACCTCATCTGCGAGGCATCTGAGCCCAGGGGTGCCCCAGGGCTCCCACCCAGGCGCCCCCCCCATCCTGGCTCCCAATGTCCCTCTTTCCATCCAAGGAGGGACGCAGTGGACAGCCAGAGGACTTAGTTTGGAGGGAAGGGACACTACATTTCTGAGAAAGGGGCAGATGGGAGAGGAAGTGAACTTGGCTAGGCGTTCACTTTATGTAAAACATTCCCCAAACTGGAATCCCATACACAGAGCTCCACACATACACTCGCTCAGGCATGGCTCAGACACATGCCGGAAACCCCCACCCCCACCCCTAACTCACTCCTGCCCCAATATAATCAAAAGGCACGAATTAAGGCTAAAGCGTTTTCTTCTCCATTTCCCCTTCATAGCACTATCTCCAGGAACCATAGACACCTGAATCCCAGAGCTGCTGTAACAGCATGGGACAGAAGGCCTGAGGAACTCCATCTTGAAGCCAGCAGCCTGCTCTGGAACTGGTAGCATGGGATAAGCATGACCAGACAGTAATCCTGAAAAAAAAAAAAAAAAAAACCAGTCTCTAAGTTGTGTCTGAATTCCCTACAATGAAGCTAAATTCCTTTGGGATCTTCAGGGTCTCCAATCTTCCAGGATTCTTGCTTTAAATCCAAGTACCTCAGGGTAGAGAGATACCACCCCCCACACACACACATACCCCAGCCCCCTAGGAAATGGGAGAAGATGCAAGAGCAGAGCTGATGAGGCTCAGAAAGAGCAGGGGGTAAATGGCTCTGTCCCCCTCCAAATCATTCCCCTGGGGGGCATGCGCCTGCAAGCCAGGAGCCAGCCCCCAAGTTATACAGAAAGATTGGTGGGCACCTCCTTCCCTGCTTCTCCTCAGGGTCACCCCTCTCTGGATTACTGGTTCAATGGCCCTGCCCTTGGGATCTCCCCTCTAAGAATTCTGTACAAAGCTTTATTCTGTCCTATGTGTGCTTTGTGCACATCAGAGTCACCCAGCCATCGATTAATAGAAAATAATAAACATAGCCCAGTTTGCTGTTTCTCCCTCTCAAATACTTTCGATCCCTCTTCCCTGCACCCATACATTCCCTGTGTCCCACCATCTACCCGCATCCTCCTCATCCTTCAGGTCTCTATCGAAGAGGCCTTTCCCAGCCACTTTGTCTAAAGTTGCTCTCCCTAGTATCTGTTATCTGACCCTATTTATTTTCCTCCAAGAAATTTTATTATTTAATTTGATTTTGTCTGTTTATTTGTTCACTTATTCATTATCAAGAGTGTTAAACACACACACACACACACACACACACAGCTCATAGGAGTGTGAGTTCCACAAACAGAGATTTTGCTAGATTCACCATTTACACAACCCTAGAATGGGACTGGTACCTTGGAGATAATACTTGTTGAATTAAAGTCACTGAGGTCTGGGGATGTGGCTCAAGCGGTAACACGCTCGCCTGGCATGGGTGAGACGCTGGGTTCGATGCTCAGCACCACATAAAAATAAAATAAAAGATGTTGTATCCACCGAAAACTGAAAAATAAATATTAAAAATTCTCTCTCTCTCTCTCTCTCTCTCTCTCTCTCTCTCTCAAATAAGATAAAATAAAAAATAAAGACACTGAAGGAAGACATGCTGGGCATTGGTGACCCTTCATGCCCTCTGCAGCCTTCTATGTTAAAGCTTTTCACACTCAACTATTACACATAACATAATCATTACATTAACACATAAGGTATATATATAATGGTATGTGCATATAATAAATAAATATGTAACACGTAATTATCGGTGTCTGTCTTTTGGACCACACTGCAAGCTACTTGTGCATGTTCCCTGAGACCTCTCTTGGACTCAGCTTCAGCCCAGCAAGTGGGTAAAAGTAAATGTGCTCAAGAGTTTATTGGCTTGTTTGTTGACTATTATGGGGAGGAAAGTAGTTAGACTTACATTTGTACAGCTCTTACCAAGAGACTGCTAAGTTTTTCCACCCCGTATGGTTCCACAACTCTAAAAAGTAAGCCTAGACTAGCACTACCCCTACTTTACAGATGAGCAAACTAAGTCTTGCAAATTGTTGACTGATTTCTCCAGGGCAAGAATTAGTAAGAAAGGAGCTTGGAAATGTCCCATAATAACCAGAACTGCCTGTTTGTTCTTTCAGTTTTATAGACTTTGCTCTGTGTGTTTTGAAACTCTGCTAACATAAGTCCTTTAACATGATACAGACCGGATGGGCTTGAGCTGCCTCCCTTCTGGGCTCTTCTTCCAGCTCTGTGTTATACTGGGTTTGGGTTTGTCTATCCTATGTTTTGCTCCTGCATTTCCTTTTTTTTTTTTTTTTTTGGGTACCAGGCATTGAACTCAGGGGCACTCAACCACTGAGCCACATTCCCAGCCCTATTTTGTATTTTATTTAGACACAGAGTCTCACTGAGTTGCCCAGCACCTTGTAAGTTACTGAGGCTGGCTTTGAACTCTTGATCCTCCTGCCTCAGCCTCCCGAGCCACTGGGATTACAAGCATGCACCACTGCACCCAGCTCCACATTTCCTCTTCATAGCTTTTCCTGATTTCTTATGTCCTGTTCCTAGCACAGTGCCTGATACCTCTTAGGCACATGTCTCCTGCTAATTGACTTGGTTCTCCCTATCAGAGAGAGCACAAGGACTGCAACCAGAAATGCAGGACAAACCAAGACTGAGCTAGGTGAGCACTTCACATTATGAGGGTTGGATAAGTCAGCTTTTGCTCACACAGAGGGGTATGGAGGTCACAAATATTTCATTCCAGGCTCCACTTTTAGTTTCCCTTTGCTACTTTAGAACCTGCCTTCTCTCCTCTCTGGAGCAATCATCAGTCCTCCAGTATGGAAAAGGCTTTTTGCTTTGTATTACAAGACCCTGTAAAGAGGACCCTAGGACTCAAGAGCAACGCCCTAGGGAAGTGATGAAAAGAATAAAGCTCAAGGAAAAGCAGGAGCTGGCAGGGCAAAGAGGAGTGAGTCAGAGTACTGCTAACAGAAGGACCATGATGGCAACGTTGACTTCATATTCCACACCATGTCACAGAGGCGACAGGGAGCAGGAGCCTAGAAACCAGGAGCTGATGCTCAGCCAAAGGGACCACCAGCATGCAACTTCAACATGTCACGGCCAGGCAAGAATGGCAGGAGGAGGGTGTTAAAGTCTATTCCAATTTTTTAAAAGAATCTGAAAACCTGGATTTTTATGAGAAATTCCCTAATTTTAAATATCGGCTTGACTTAAAAAAAAACAAAGTGTATGTGCCAAATAAAACACACCTGTGGATTTTAATGGGCCAATGGGTAGCCAATTTGAAAGCCCTGTGTTAGAGTGGATACAAAGTGTGGGATGGAAAGAGACTAGCAAGGTGCAAAGGTTAAGGCCAGAGAATGAGGAAAGTTTCAAGGCTCATTAAGGAAACCAACTGGCAATGAAAGGACTTCGAATCCGATCAGGTTTCTGTCTTAGGAGGACCCTTCTGATGGCAGCAAGGAGAATCAATGAGCAGGGATCAGCAGTGTAGGTAGGAAGGCCAGTTTTAAAAAGGATGTTGATAATCAAGGTGAGATTGTACAACGGCCTGGTCTCGGATGGTAGCAGTGGGGCTAGATAGAAATAGATGCAGTTGAGAGAAATTCCAGATTTAGAATCACAGGACCTCGTATTTGACTTACTGTAAAATGTAAGGGGGTAAAAGGAACCAGCTAGAACGATGAGTGGATTTCTGGATCAGACAACTGAGTGGGTGTTAGTGGCATTTAACAAGCTAATGAACACAAATAGGAGAAACAGTTTTGGAGAGAAAGTGGGTGACTTTTTGATCAGGTGGAAGTTAATGTTCTGGAGACATACCCATGGAAATTTCTAGTGGGCAATTAATTGGATTTCAATGAAAGAAACCTGTGTTGAAACTGTAGATCTTGGGGGTCATTGGCAGGTCACACAAAGCCTTGAGATAGGCCGAGATCCCAAGGAAGAGTGTGCAGGTTGTGGATAAAAGAAAAGTTCCAGAGAGTGGTCCTTTTCAGGTTGGTTGCTCTCAGAGTAAAGGAAAGTCAGGAAAAAAAGGAAGAAGCCCAGCAGAGTGTGGTCTCAGGGAATCTCAGGACAGATGTCCAGGCGCTACCATGTGTGTAGACCACTGTGCCAAATGTCAGAGAAATATCAAGGATGAGGACAGAAAAGTATCCACTGAATCAGTGCCATGGAGGTCCAGAGTGACCCCGGTGGGCACAGTTCCACTGACAGGTTTGGGATGACACCCAGCCTGCAGGAGCCTGAAGAAAACCAGAGGCAGGTGAATCAAATCTTCCAAAGATGATGGCTGTGGAGAGAAAGAGAAAGGGAAGACCTCATGTTATGGTTCGGATATGAGGTGTCCCCAAAATCTCATGTGTGAGTCAAGCAAGAAGGTTTAGAGGAGAAATGATTGGTTCCCTGATGGGAATAACCGAGTGGTTAATCCTGAAGACAGGCAGGGCGTGGCTGGAGGAGGTGGGGGCGTGCCTTTGGGGTACATATTTTGAATCCTGAGAGTTGAAGTCATTCCTCTGTTTCCCATCTTCTTGGGAGCTGCTTCTCTCTGCCACACTCTTCTGACATGATGTTCTGCCTCATCTTGAACAAACTGACTATGAACTGACATCTCTGAAACCGTGAGCCCCCAGATACACTTTTGCACCTCATCATTTGTTCTGATCAGGTATTTTAATCACAACCGTAAAAAAAAAAGCTAACCCGTTAGAAAAGGCTGTGGGATACAGGGAGGTTTTTACCTATAGAAGAGAGTGAATATATGTTCACTTTCGTAAGAAGCCTTTAGAGAGGGAGAAAGAGATTGAAGAAATAATGAGAGAAGAACAATCTTCAGTAGCCCCAAGACTGTTGAGAAGGGAGAGGATAGAATTCTGAGTATCCAGGGAGATCAACTCTGCTCTGGACAGAAGCAGGGGGGTGAATGCAAGGAGGTTGTGAGTTTGGTGTCTAGAGTGAGTTCCTTTTGAGAGCTTCTAATTTTGCCTCTGAAGTCAGGGTTGATGTTACAGTA